ATGTATATTAGTATATATATGTATATGTATATTAGTATATATATTGTATATGTATATTAGTATATATATATATATATATATATATATATATATGTATATTAGTATACACGAGGCTAGAACGTGTATTAGGTCTACTTCGTACCTCTCAAAATTAATAGATGCGATTGTCAAGGCTGAACATAATTGTGACTGGAATTCCAAGAAATATGTAACTGCACATGTGACACTACTATGAGAAATAAAAATCACTGCCGACTGTGTTAGACTAAGACATATATATAATGGGAAATACGTTAGACAAACTAAAATATCGGCTACTGCAAGGTTTACTAAAAGAATGACGGGTGCACCTCGTAACTGTCTACATCGACGAATAAGAAAAATAACAGCGACATTTCCCGTACATCCAATTATAAATAGAACAATGCAGATACAAGTAAACAGATGATACAGCCATCCATGTGGTGCGTTCCTGTAGAAATAAAGGTGCAAGTGACATAAAGCGTATCTGGGCATCCTGGCTGTTGTACCTGTATTTTTTCTTAAGTTTAACTTAAGTTTCGTTACTCTTCACACTCTACACAACGAACACACGCCTGATGAGAAACAATACGAACAAATTATTTAAGTATACGGATAGTAATAGTAATAATAGTCATACAGAATAAACTGAATGATAATATTAATGTTCATGACAATGATGATTTTAGATAATGATAATATCAACAACATCAACAGCAACATTTGTGATATTCCCAAGATTCATATGCAGATGGGATACAGTGGCGTAATGGGGAAGTCTCGGGCCTTATGGGTCCTACTACCATGAGGGCCGTGTAGGGCTCAGTGGGGTCGGAAGCCTAATGGGATGCTAGTGTAAATATTCGGCTTCTAGGTTTACCAACCCTTGGAGAGAGACGTACAAATGGAAAACGATGATGATAATAACAACAACAACAACAACGACAACAACAACAACAACAACATCACCGATTTTAACATATTAAAGCACCATTTTTCAATTCAATAAGACATTAACTTTCTTTCACTACAAACAAAATACAGTAAAAACAAAACATATTAATAAAACGATTACCTACGTTTCTTGTTTTCCCTGCTACAGCAAAGGTTGATGAATCGTCACAAAATGAAAATATCACATTATCGTATATATAGGCTTCAATCCCTTTTTAACTAAACTCGGCGTAAATGAGACGTCATTTGATAGGATCTTCGCAGCAACATTTAGTCCTATTTTATTCCCATATATGTTGTGCCTATATATATAGTCATGTTGTGCCCATATATAGTCATGTTGTGCCTATATATGACCAGGATGTCATGTCATCATGGTTATATCATAAGCATGTCACATATTTTTATCATATAAAATGTAATGGTTTTGGCAGGGCTACAGCAGAACGAGCCACTGTACTGTTTATCCCTGGATTTTAAGCCACTTTAAACAATAACATTTGCATTTGTGATGTGATGTAAATAGATCAATGTATATTTTCAAAGCAGAGACGATGTCAATTACACTTAGTAAAGGCAAATTATTTTACACTTTAATAATAATAATAATAATAATAATAATAATTAATTTTTAGTGAGACTGTTCACTAAGTTTTTAACCTATAGATTAAAAGAAACGTGTTGTTGTCTATCGCCGTGTTTAGCTCTCTTAAACAGAAATTATATAGAGTGTTCGTACCGGTGTAAAAAATGTCCCCAATGATAAAATTCAGAAATAATTTTTTTTTCTTTTTTTTTAATCTTCGAACAATTTGAATGCTGTAAAATAGCTAAAAGTATTCAATAAATCAACATAAATTATACTCATTTTTGAAAAATTTACCAGTAATGTCATTGTCACATAAGTTTATATTAGGCTCATTTTTTATAGGAATAAAAAAAAATTAATAAGTAGTTTACAGATTTTAATAAAGTAATAAATGACATGTTGGCAGCAGAAACTATACTGTGATTGTGTAAGTGACAACTAAGCTATAATTTAATTGGTCAACTTTTATTTGTTGTGAATCTGTACTGCAGCCAAATAAAAGCCTTTTGGTTTCTAAAATACCATATAAACAAGATGTCTAGTATTCTGGGTGTTTTTGAGAATTATCTCTCTGGTTTATTTGTGAGTGATTATCTATATTTTAGGGAATAAGTACAGAACACCTCCATTATATATTAAATTTTTAGTTTCTTTATTTGGTGATATAATCAGAAACTAGCATTATACCTTATTTTACGGGAACCTTGACTTGTTTATTGTTAGTTTATCAATACTTAGAATGAAGTTAAAAATGTCTGCAAATTTATTCTATTTATTTATTTATTGAACATATACAGGATAACATATCAGGAGGAAGTAACAACCTGTTTTACATATGTTCTTGTTCTGTGATACAAATTACAGTATAAAAATCACCAAGTTGCCTATTAATAGAATTGAAAATAGACTTAATTACAAATAGGGTCTATGAATAAAACATTTAATCTAAAACACAGAATTCATACTATTTTGTTAAAATAAATCGAAGAAGTTAAAATCACAAGGTAATGTAAAAAAATGAATGATAAAAGCCTATTTGCAAAATTAAAATAGTAAAATTCAGTAGCAAAATATTAAAAGATGAGTCAAATAGTTTCAAGAAATGAAGCCATATCATAACATTGATAAAACGAAATGCTAGTATTTTAAAAGCGGTATTTTAATTTAGATTTTATTAATTATATATTCGATTTTTATATTTCAATTTGAAATTAAATAATTAGATTCTTTTAAATTCTGCGGTATTGTTTCTTATATTTGCACCAGCATATATAAGCGAAGTCTTCGTAATATTTAAATTTACTAAATTATTTTAATATTAAAAAATACATATGATTTATGTTTATTTATGGATTAAATTGTTGCTATTTTGCAACATTTAAGTAAGTTGGGAAATAAAAAAAGATTAATGTTATTCATATAATTATAATTCCTGCAAAATATATCATAAAATGACAACTTACTTGATAATAGATTATTTTTAAAAACTAAATTATGCATACTATAATGATTTATGTTGATATTGATTCAAGTAAATTTTTAAATCAATTTAAATACAAAATGTTATTATTGGGGGCAATTTTTGCCAACCTGTCATTTGGGGAAATTTTTACTGGGACCATTTACTCTTGTGCCAATTTTTTCCGGGGCCATTTTTCCTACAACTCATTGGCTGTTCCTCAATTTAAATACTCCCTCTATTTAGAGACGAATGATCATGAGTTTGACGGACTCAACTGAACTTTTCCCCTCCAATTAAAGACCACTATAAAATAAATAGTGATTTTAAAGCAATTTTAATTTTTCTGTACAATACATTTTGAACTTACACAAAATATTATCCAGTGCATCATACGATGTGTATTAAATGTTTTCTGTAATGTTATATTAATAAATAACAGCATGCAGTAACTCTACATCCACTTTAAATCTATTTAATGTAACATTTCGTATTTACTCCCTAAATAATATAAAAAAATCTAAATTTCACATTAAGTGCAAATAGTTGAGGTGCCGTCTCCCGTCGAGTCGCAGGATGGATTCAGGAAATCAGCTGGAAGCCTCGCACACTCCTGCGGCGTGCATGCACTAATCTCGTGAAAAATATAAACTTCCTGCAAATTCACGATATTTGCATGTTTTTACATGTTTTTGCTACTGTATTATCCATTGTCAGTGCCAATGGGTATCACATGCACAACAAAATATATTTAGATTCTAGAAAACACTTAACCAGATCTCCCAGATGAGAATTCAACTTAGGACCTCTAAATGCCGGTCTTAATTATAGGGGATCCAAATGCTATAAGTTTAGGAGACCAAACTGACATTTTCCGTCCAGTTAAAGACTAGGCCTATACCTCAAAAAAGTGTTTACAAGTGTATAACACTGCCCTCCCATACCGTTTGTGTTGTTCGTAGAGGCTTCTATTTTGTAATTTAACTGAATATTCAAAATTTAGAGCTCATTCAATTTTTACTTTATGAGCTTAAAATATTGGATGTTTATAAACTTCATAACGAATGAACCAACGATCGAGCGAACGAACGAATGAATAAATGAACGAACGAATGAATGAATGAATGTATGAATGAACGGATGAATGAATGAATGAATGAATGAACGAATAAATGAATGAATGAATGAATGAACGAATGAATGAACGAACGAACGAATTAATAAATAAATAAATCTATTGAATTGCTCATTAATTACAAAAAATGAAGCCCTGGGCTTTTTTTTTTTTTTTTTTTTTTTTTTTGAGAATTTGAATGGGCCTTTTTTCGAGGCTACTTTTGGTGGGGGGGGGGGCTTATTTTCAAAATGAATGCTGCAAATTTTGGGAATTATTACGGTACTATAAAACAATTATAGGGCAACTATAACATCAATCGGCATCATGGAGTGTATTAACCGGCATTAAATTACCTAAATTACTGTATATACAAAGTGCGTTTTTAATTTATATTGTTCCTTTGGAATTCATGTAGAGTGTATGTACTGTACTGTACACTGTCTCGGAAAGAAAAGCCCATGCTGTGTTGAAAAGAAGCCCATGGGCTTCTTTTCGAGGCTACTTTAATTTGCAAACTAAAGGGAGGGGACTTCGATTCGAGATAGGCTTCTACTCGAGATTAAGCCCATTGGGCTTCTATTCGAGGTTTTACTGTATATTGCCAATACAAAATATTGTAAATCTCCGTCCAGTTAATCAAATTTCTTTGACAAAGTAAACGGTTGTATTACATAGACAAGATGTGCCTATATATGATCGTGATGTGAGGTCATGGTCATGACGTGATGTCATCATGACCATAATTAGGTTTGCCACGTGCTCTTCTCATCTAAAATTTGATACTATAGTTATTTACTCATATCTCCATCATCACCTCATTTATGTTTTGTGATAGGGCCTACTTTTCGTTATTTATGTTATTCGTTTCAAATCTTCATTTTCTGCATATCTTTTTCTTTTCGTTATCTTTTTTAGGCCTACCCTTTCTTTTGATGTTATCTTTTGTTTTCTTTACTTCTCATTTTATCATTTATTTCTTTCTTATCATTTCTTTTCGTTTCTTTCAATTTATTTTTTATATTTTCCCTTTTACATTTATCAGAGCGCATCTTTCTATTCTTTATCTTTGGATTATTTT